GCCTTGCACATTAACAATAAAATCTGTAAAACTGTTTTTGAGTTTGGCATTAATTCAGAGTTCAAAGACTGGTTCATATCAGTGCAGCCCAAAAATCAAGGGCAGTCTCTTGGTTTGTAGGCTGTGACAGCTGCTCCTTGAATTTCTTCATTTCCTGCATGATGCACGGCTTTGAGAAGCCAGATCTGGATGGCCGACTAGACAAAAACTTGAATCTGGGCCGCTTTCTCTGTGGTCCCTCTTTGGATTCCTCCTCTCCCTCTTCCCCTGGCTTCTCATCTTCTGCCTCATCTTCCTGTAAAACAGGTGGCACCAACTGAGCTATGTACTCTTCTGCTTTTCCCAGAAGTGCCTCACTTTGCTCGTCATCATTTTCAAGGAGTGCTTCAGGTGCAACTGTTGGGTCGAGGTAGCAAGCAGCAGCAATGAGGGGTGAAAACTTAGAATCAGTGTGATCAAGAAAGCAGCCAAACCACTTCTCCATGTTTGCCTTCATCTTAGTTGCCAGGGAAGCTAGGTCATTGAAGCTAGAACCCTGGGCCGGCCTGGTTCTTGCTACTTGGTGGCACCAAGTAGCAAGAACCAGGCCGGCCAAACACACACACACACACACACACACACACACACACCTAAAACAATAAATCTGTTCTGGTGAGTTCTGCTGCTTTGTGTACGTGTGGGTGTCATATACTGTACGTATGCAACCACGATGCAGTATATAGTTATTGGAAATGCGTCTGATATTTTCTCAGTACAACTTCAAACTCAGTGAATATAGTTCTTCAGTTGTACTGTGGGAACAACTTTACTGTATTAATTTAATGTTATGTATTCCTCAACATGCGTTTGATGTTTATTCTTCCCTAAACTGCTTAAGCACAGAGGAAGAAAATGGATGAAAAAAAGCTGCAACAGTTCATTACAGCTTTTGAGCTCCTATTTATTCTACACATGCATTTGCTGTGTTTGGGGAATTTGCAGATTGGTTGAGACTTATCATCAAGCTTGCCAGAAAAAGAACATTTGTAAAGCACAGCAGATGTTGTTAGGGATCCTTTTTTAATAGCAACCCACGGGTCTCTTGATCCACAGACGTGTATGTAACTCCAGCATCAAACCTTTGCAGTTGAATAAAGACTATTTCATGAGTTAAACTAAAGAATTTCTTTCTTTCTCAAAATACACCAAGATGGCAATCTTGCCTAAATTTATTTTTGTGTCCGCGTGCTTCCTTTTTCCTTTCCATGCTTTTCCAAGCAGGGTTACAGGGAGGTGCTGCTTATCTCCAGTGGTCACTGGGTGAGAGGGGGGTGCACAACCTGGACAGATCTCCAATCTATCACAGGACTGCATACATAAAAGATCACACTTTCTGAATAAAAAAAATACAACCTAAAAGACACTGGGACTTTTGGTATTGATCCAATACAAAGAATATAAATGACTAATATTGCCAATACCAATTTTTGTTCATTGAATAATTGGGATTTTGCATTTAGTCAATTATGACAAAACACAGGAAAAAGTTTTGTATAAACTAATTACAATAAAATAAAATAATTTATAAGTATAAAACTAAGAAAATATTTCCCCAGTTACCATCCACAGCACATAATTGTTTAAAGGGGCAATATTACGTGTTTCTCAGGCATACATTTAAATAATATACTATAATAAAGTTTCTATGTTATCGTTAGCTGTTATTAAAATGCTGTTTTTATGTTTAAATAGACAATAAACTTATCTTCTCATCATTTCCATTTCTAAACACCTTGAAATTGGCCTCTGTCTCTTTAAGAACCTCCTTCTGCTTCTGTCCCACCCATTTCAACATGTGTGTGTTTGTATGTGTGTGCGTGGGGTGGGGGGG